ACCCAACTGTGGCATCGTCGTTTGGCTTGATCCACTGGCACGCGACGCACGGGAAGGGCTCCTGGGCGAAGTTCGCACGGCAAGGGCCCAAGCCTCCGTTGGCAATGCGCACCAGGGCGATGGATGGCTGGCGGAAGATGCTGAAGAAAGCGCCCCCTGGGAGTCAGATCGCCCGTGGGCCGTGCCCTCGGCCTTGCATGGGGGGGCATGCCATGCCGAGTGGCTGGGCCTGGGTTCCCCCCCCCTTCGGCCGCCCCCGCAGCGGCTTGCACCCCCCGGCCAGAGTGGCCCAGATGCGGGGGCGAAGGTGCCTCCCAGCGGAGGGCCATCAACCCAGACATCCAACATTTGGTTGTTGTTTGCGATGCGGGGTCCCTGGACGTCCCGACCATTTCCTCGCTCGACGCTGCTGCGATGCTGGGGTCCCTGGACGTCGGTGTTCGCCCCCGGTCGTCGCAGTGCCCCGCGAGGGCCACTCGAGGTTAAAGCCTGCGAACAGCTCCCAATTGTTTTTGCTTCGCGATGCGAGCGCGTCTGGAGCGCGGCCCCAAAGAAGGAAGGGAAGGAGGGGCGGCGCAGAGCGAAACTTCGGGAGGGGGAGGGGCGCAGGGAGAGGAGTGGCGGCGGGGGCAGACGCAGCTTCGGGGCGGATCGCACCGCTGTCGGAACGCATCGTAATACCTGTAGCAGGCTGGCTGGATTGCGCCCCGCGCGGGCAAGCAATAAGCTTGATTGACAAGGATGAGAAGGAAAATGATGATGAGGAGGTATCAGGGGCGACGTTCGGGGGTGCGATGGACCCAAGGGGGAACGCATCGACCCCAACTTGCCCATTCATCATTGATATGAGCCCGATAGTCCACCCAGCCAAGGAACGTGCGGATTCACGCTCGAGGCATATCGCCGATCTATCGGGGATGCATCGCCGATTCGAACTCGATGGTTCCCCCCAGAGGTGGCCCCGCGCGCGTTCCCCTTCAAACGAGGAGGAGGAGGGGGGAATGAGGAGGTGCTGGAGAAGGGGAAGGAGAAGGAGGTGACACGTAGCCACGCCGAGCGAATCAGAAGGCCCCGCCAACTCCCACCCTCCCCTAGTACATAACAGCGAATTGTGGCACATTTTGAGTTGCTGCCAGCTCGCACGCGGAAGCCCATCGATCATAACACACATGCCCATTACAACGGAACGCGGTAAACAGGAAAGCAGTTCGCCGCCGCGCATGATATCGATGCTTACGGCCTGCGGTGAGCGGTGATTGGAACATGCAAACCAAGAAACTGAGTAATCCGACCTTGCGGCAGAAACGGAGTGGGGGGAGAAGGAGGATGAGGGGGAGGAGGAGGTGGTGGTGGTGGAGGAGGGGGGGGTCATGGCGGCCGCCTGGGCGTTCGTGGGTTGAGGAGGGGGGTCTCACCGCCATAGGGGAGCTTCTAGCCATTGTAGCGCACGACGGGAAGCCAAGCTTCAAACGAGTAAGTTTGTTATTTTGCATATGGTTTGGCTGGTTTGGCTGGTTTGGTTGGAGCTTAATATTGAAACCGCCCTTCAGGATTCAGGCGACAGTGGTTCGGGAGAGGTCCAGGGAGAGAGGCAACGCCAACCACTACGACAGCAAAACAGTTTGTTTTGCGTTTCTGATTCGTTTGCGTTGCAAGTTTTTTGTTGCATATGGTTTTTTTTGGGGGGTTAGTCTGGTTTGAGTCTAGTGCGGGATTTTTAGTTTTGGTTTCGAAAGAGAGTGTATTCGGGGAGGTCCAGGGAGGCAGCGCCAACCATTATGACGGCAAACTAGTGTTGAGTTGCATGTATGATGTTTGTTGCGTTGCAGGTGTTCATGCATCTGGTCTGGCTGGTCTGGTTAGTCCGGTCCGATGTTAGTGCTGAAGTTTTAGCTTCGGATCCGGGAAGGAAGTTCAGAGAGCGCCAAACATTACGACAGCAAAACGGTGCTGGTTTGCATTATTGATGTTCGTCGCGTTGCAGGTTGTTTTGGATATGGTCTGAGTGGTCTGCTTAGTCTGGTTTGGGCTTAGTGCTGAAGCTTTAGCTTAGGATTCGTGCGAGAGTGTTTCAGGGAAGGTCCATGGAGGCAGCGCCAATAGCTACGACAGCAAAACAGTTTGTTTGCATTGCTCGCGTCTGTTGCGTTGCATTTGTTTTGTGCATCTGGTCTGGCTGGTCTGGTTAGTCTGGCTAGAGTCTTGCGTTGGAGCTTTAGCTTAGGATCCGGGCGAGAGTTGCTTGGGGGAGGTCTATGGAGGCATTGTCAACCACTACCACAGCAAAACAGTTGTGGTTTGCTGCTGTTGCGTTGCGGTTTGTTTTGCATCCCGTCTGGCTGGTCTGGTCGGTCTTTTTGGTCTACCTGGTTGGTCTAGTTGATCTACCTGAGTGGTCTGACTGGCTGGCCTGGTTGGTCTGTTTGGTTTGGCGAGGTTCCTCTGCTCGGTGTAGCCTTTGCCCCGCTAGTCTGAACGGCTAGCTGGTCCGGCTTTTCTGCTTGGTCCACCTGTCTGGTCTGGTTGGTCTATTTGGCTGGTCTGATTGGCTGGTCTGCTTGGTCCTGGTGGTCTGTGTGACAGGTCTGGTGGTTGGTGTAGTCTTTTGCTTGCTGGTCTGGCTGGTCTGGTGGGTCCGGTTTGAGCTTTTTGTCGAAGCTGTAGTTTGGCATGTCACTGTACAATGCAGTTGGAGGCAAAGGGAGGTGCGCAGCGCGCAGTGCGAACCATTTCCACAGCACTACCACTACCAGCGCAGTGCTTATTGCAGTTTGATGTATGACTTGCAGTTTTCTGCGTTGCAGTTTTTGGTGCACTGCAGCTTTTGTTGCATTGCGCTACTGTTTCGGAGCTCTAGCAAGGTTGTCGCTGGTCTGCCCCGGCTGTTCTTGTTGGTCCGGTTTGCCTGGTTGGTCTTGTTGGTTTGGTTGTTGCTGAGCGGCCGGCTTCTCTGGTTGGTCTGGCTGGTCTACTTGGCTGGTCTACTTGGTCTCCCTGACTGGCCTGGCTGGCTGAGCTGGCTGGTCTGCTTGGTCTGGCGAGGTTCCTCTGCTCGGTCTTGTCTGCGCTTCGAGAGATTGAATTCCATCAGCCACAGCAGGTTTTCTGCCTCAGGGCACAGTCAGGCGCTGGGGCATGAGCACCGTGCGCCTCGAGCGGCTTGAGCAGCGATCGATGTCGGAAGAACGGGTCTCCGATGACGCCCAAAATCGGCCGGTGTTGTGGTGCCTCGGGTGCCTCCGTGCGCCCCCCTTGTGAGTGACCCGCGAGGTGATGTGGTCCCCGGGGCTTCCTGGGGCCTCGCGTGGCCTCTTGGGGCGTCCTGGTGCCCCCATGGTACCTGGGCCTCCTGATGCGCCCTATGGTGGCTCCTGAGGCCTCTTTGGGCCTCCTCCGGCCTCCTGAGGCTTCCTGGGTCCTCTTGGTGGCCTCCTGGGTGCCTCCCTGGGGCCCCCTCTGGGAGTCCTCGGCGCCATAGCAGCGCTCGGTTTTGGAAGAGCTCGTTCCTAGTTCGCCCCAAGTCGGCCAGTGTTATGGCGTCCCTTGGGCGGCCATCGTGCGCCCTGTGTGAGCGGCCCGAACAGTTTTGTAGCCTCCTTGGCCTCCTGGGCGCCCTGGGGCTTCCAGGAGAGTCCTAGAGCCCCCTGGAGCTTCCTGGAGCCTCTTGCCCTGAGATCCGATGTCGTGATTTGTTCAATACGGGCCCCCCGGAAGTCTCGACCCATTCCCCAGGACCGGTGTGTCATCCTGATTCGTTTTTTGACGGTCCCGAGGCCCGGCGAGGGCCCCTAGAGACCGAAAATTGCGAAACACGTCCGTCTTGTTTTTTCCAATACGTTGGATCTTTGGGTGGTGGCCTGCTGGATGCTTCTGGGGGCCTGCTGGGGGTCGGAAGCCCTGGGGTCTAACGTCGCCCGAGCCGGCCGGTGGGATGGCGCCTCTTGGGACTTGGGACCTTCGTGTGCCCCCCCCTTGGCGGGCGCCCCGCAAGGTTTTGCGCACGTTGGGGCTTCCCGGTGCTTCGCGGAGCGCCCTGGGGCATCCTGCGGCGTCCTGGGCTTCCCGGGGCGCCCTGGGGCCTCCTGGAGCTTCTTGGGGGGCTTCCTGGCGCTTCCTGGGGCTTCCTGGGGCCTTCTGGCTGCCTCCTGGGTGCTTCCTGGAGGCCTGCTCGGGCCTCCTGGGGTGGGGTTGGGCGGGAGGGGTGGCAGGAGGGGGGGATTTCGGCGCCATAGCATTGCTCAGTTTTCGAAGAACTTGTTTCCGACGTCGCCCACATCGGCAGGTGTTATGTCGCCCCTTGGCCCTTCGTGCGCCCCTTGTGGGCGCGTTTCCGGTTTCTTCCCCCAGATAGGCTTGCGTTAAGCTGCCCCTTTGGCTTTCGTGCGCCCCTCGCGGGCGCCCCGCGATGTTTTGCAGACCTCGGGGCCTTCTGGGACCTCGTGGAGCTTCCTGGGGCCTCCTGGGGCATCTTGGGCCTCCTGGGCCTGGGGCTTCCTGGAGCCTCCCCGAGGTTTTGCGGACCAGCCCCAGGACTTTGTGGCCTCCGCGAGGCTCTGTGGACCCTCCTGGGAAGATTCGTGGATGGGAACAGCCCATATCGGGCTTCATGCTCTCGGCCCGACGGCGAACAAGACGACAGACCACGCCGCAATCCCCTAGGGACATCGGCGCGTGAATATTGGGGTGCCCAGTGCCACGCGAAGCGTGATCCGTCAGCTTCCATGGAGCACGCCAGCGAATGAGACAAGTAAGCGCCTGCCCCTTTGAAATAGCAAAAATTTGGACCCAATCCAGGCGAGCCCCCAGAGGCCAAGAGGAGAAGAGCGGACTACGAAACGCTCTTCCGTCCTCCTGTTCCTGGCCCAAAAACTGTTTCGACATTTGGGGGCTAAGAGGAGGAAGGGAGGGAGGAATAGGAGGAGGAGGAGGAGGAGGAGGAGGAGGAGGAGAAGGAGAAGGAGGAGGCGGAGGAGCCCCCCACGCCGTCCTGGGCGAGAGAGGAGCGCCTCTCCGACGCCCACGCGGCGCTGCCTCCGGGCGTGACCTTCCATCCGGAGATCTGCCAGGGCCGCCGCCGCGGCGAGGCGGAGGAGGCGGGCGCTTCTCGCGCCCCCCCCCTGATCTCCGCGGTGGTCGTTTCAATCCTGGTTCGGGCGTCGCGGAATGGGGGGGCGATCAAGAGGGAGGCAGCGAGGGCTGCAGACGAGGGGCCTTTGAGGGCCCCTGAAGGGGGCACCTTTCAGGGTCCGAGAGGGGGCCTTGCGGGCCCGACGCGTGCACCTCTGCTTCCCCTTGCCCCACTTGCCGCCCCCCCACTCAGCACTGCCCAACCGTTGTTTTGTTCTCAGCTTCCGTCGTCTACTCGTAAGAGTGGTCTTCGCACGAGTGACTCTTGGTGCGGGCCCATTGGGCCCGCCCGATGGCTGCACGCGATGTTATCGCAGCGGCCTGCGCGCTTGGGTTTGCCCCCTCGCGTCCCCCAAGAAGCCAAGAAGCCGCGCACCAAAGGTCACTCTTGCCTAGGGTCTTCTTACGTGCAGCCAGTGTCGGCCCTGTGAAGCTGTTTCGGGCCCTGGGGCCATCAGGAACGGATCTTGGAAGAAGAGCTACCGCCATGGAAAGGGATGGAGGCCTCTGGCGCCACGGATTTCATAGCATCATATCGTCGTATGCTTGGGTCCGGCTCCACCTCAAGGCCTCCTCGCACCGAGCAAAGATCACATCGGTGGGAGGTTTGGGGGAGTTGTCTTTCTCCCCGGGGAGAAAACGCATCGCGCCGTGAATCACCACATCACGTCGGGTGGAGCAGTCGAGATGAAAAGAGGCCTCATACATGGTTCGGTCGAGGCCGTCCCGGGCTGCAGGCCGTCAGGAAACGACCGGCCCCAAGGAAGGGGTCGAAGCAACAAACATGTCTTCAGAACGCGTGCGATCATAGCGACCATGCGAGCAATGAGAGCACTGTGAACCTGCGGTGTGAAGACAGGGCAGTGCTTAGAATACGATCAGGAAGACATCAGAGTGAGGGGGTCGAGCGGTCATGCATTGTCCTTGGGTGCGTGGCTGAATTGCGACTCCGCTGCGCGGACTCTCGTTGTTCCCCATATCCTAAGGATGGGGTCCTTGTTATTCTTGCGGCCGCCCCGACTCCTCACACCTTTCTCCTCTTCGTCGTCTTCTTCCACCGTTGCCATGTTGGTTCAAATGGGATCAGGTCCAATGCGAGTGGGCAGCTCCTGTCGCGAGCGATCCAGCGTGTCGTGCGCTGGCGGGCACCTTCAGTTCTTCTCCCTGTTTGACGCCACCCGCGTCACACCAGTCAGTCCCGCAATGGTCAGCCCAGCAGAGACAGCACCCATGCCTGCAGTGAGGAGTTGCGATGGGAGCTCAGAGCGTGCACAGCCATCCCCCTTTTGGTTCTGCTTCAGAGTCATTTCTGCCCTCGCAGATGTACGCCAGCCAGGGGCAACAAGGCGGCAAGATCGGCAAGGACGGCCACGACAAGGGCAAGGGTCACAAAGACAAAGGCTACAACCCGCTAGGCGCCAGGGACCCGGGGGCAGATCATCCACGGAAGCGTGGAGCTGCAGTTGCTGCTGAAGCTTGCCCTGATGGCCCACAACATAAAACGTTCGTTGCGACCTGCCGTCGCCCACGTTTGTAGGAAGTGAGATGAAGGTGGAAAGCGCCGACGATCCCGATGGCGACAGCAAGTCTCACGGAATTGTTGGCCCACCCCAGGAAGATATACCGCATCCGTCTTCCGCCGACCGGATGACACTCATGAAGCGCAAGGAGGCCGAGAGGAAGAAGGAAGCCGTCGCCGTCAAGACCGAGTTCGACCAGACTCTGAAGGCACACGACGACGCCATTGCCAAGATCAGCGAGAGGATGGATCAGCAGGAGCGCCAGGTTCGTCAGGCGGCGGAACAAGCGCAGTCGTCAGCGGTGCTCAAGCAGCTGGAGGCCAGACTCGAAGCCAAGCTCGGTGCCAACCTGAAAGCCTTGTCTCCCCCGCCGTCGACTGCGCCCTCGTCTCGTTCCACTGTTCGGCCCCGAGCGTTCCAACACGTGCTGGCGGCCATGCCAAGGACCAAGCAAATTCGGATCCATGCAAGGCGTGGATCGGCAGGTTCCCTGACAAGATGCGGGCCTCAGTGATGCATGGACATGCGAAGGCTGGAATTTAAAACGCACCAAAGGATATGGCCAAGGCGCGCAATTTGAAACGCACCTGCTCGATCAAGTTCGACCCCAACCTGCGCGCGAATATGTTTCTGGACACGGCGCGGGCAGAGGGCCTTGCGTGTGTGGACAGATCGCAGCGGCGCCACCCACTTCGTGCTCGGATGGACGCGAGCCCAGACATCCGGAAGAAGAGCTGGTACTTGGGGCTCGCCGACCATGTAGAGAAGGATTGCCTGCTCGACCCCAGCTGCATGAAGAGCGGAAGCAACCCGCAGAAAGGTGCCCCCTTCATGGCCCCAGGCCATTCGTTCTTGGTCTCTTCAGGGCGAGGACGTTTGGTCTCTCTTCGCGCTGAGCAAGAGTCACAACGAGCAGTCCGACATCAACCCAGAAATGGGTTCGCCCATGACCTTCGGAGCCACCAGTGACATGGCCAGCACGTGGATTCGCATTGCTTTGGGATCGGAAAATTGGACCGCTGAACCTACAGTTTCTTGATGACGACACCGACGCAGTCATGGTTGTTGGCCCCGTCCAATCCTCTTGCTAATATCCCACCTTCTGCCTCCTCGTCTACACCTTCGGCTGCCCCCTCGCCTTCGTCCTCGCCGACGACTGCGCCCAGCGCCGCGGCCTCGTCGCCCCCTTCGCCCTCTGGGCGCCCCTCGTCAGCCAGCGGCGCCGCGCGAGTAGCCTGCAGGGGGCCGACGGTTTCGATGACTTGTCCGCCGCGAGGGGAGCCTCCCTCCACCTCCCCCACTGCCGCCGCGCGTCCTTGCGCGACGGCGAGCGCCGCTGCGAAGGGGGCTCGCGCGGCTACCCGCACCGAGCGGACAACTCAGTCGTCTCGTCGCCAGGCGGAGCCTGGCGAGCAATCGCGGGGAAGAGACAATTCACGCAGTGATGGCGGCAGCTCGCCCTCCTGCCCCTCATCTTTGCCGTCTGGGCCGCCGCGCAGTAGTTCAGCATGTGCCGATCCGTTTCAGTTCCGCCAGCAGTTTTCAGCAGTCCCATGGAACGCCCGAGGTCTCTTGGGGCCCACCAGCACCCCGATCGAAGTCGCCCGTGCCATGCACGATCTGCGCGCTAAACTTGTTCAGGAACATGCAGTCACTGGGCTCGAGACGTTCGGCAATCTGGAGGATATGAGACCGCTGCAGCAAGACACCGAAGCTTCCCATAGTTCCGGATCGTTTCACGCTCGAGAAGGAGCGGGCGGCTGTATGATCGCTGTCCATCCCGGGCAATTCGATATTTTTCCTCATCACCCCCACCATAATCACATTCGGGAGTTTCTACACAGTTTACTACTATCTGGGCCTCTTGGGCAGCTTCAAATCATCAGTGCGCGCCTTCATTCCAAGCTTTGCCGGCGGCAACAATCGGGAGTGTTCCAGTGTCTGCGCAGGGTTACTTTGCCTCGCGACAAGCACCTATCAATCGTGCTCGGAGATTGGAACTTCCCCAGCCTCAGCGAGACCAGGGCTCGCAGCGACGGTCGCACCGTTCTGCCGCAGAGCCCTCTCGCCACCGAGTTTGCTCGCGCCTGCCCCGAACTGGTGGAGATCGACCAGCCAGAGTTCGCGCGCGCCTCGCCCTTGACCCAGCAGGGAATAAGTCTTGGGCGGGTAGAGACCGAGTATGCACCAATCTCTACCCCGCTCAGGCCCTGGACCTCAACCCCGACGGCCTCGTCCTTGGGGCCCCGAACAACGCTGGCAATCCTTCGGACCGCACCCCCGTCTGCGTCTCGTTCGCGCCTCCTGGGCCGTCTGGGCGCGCCAAGATCCCGCTCTGGATTCCGAGGCATCCGTGGTTTCAGGAGGAGGTGGAGAAGCCTTTGGGAGAAGTGGGGCTTCTTCGCCAGGACATCAAGCAAGCCCCCCAGGAAGCTCGAGCTCGATCTCGAGGTGCGGCTTAGCTTGTCCGTGGCAGGTTACCTCTTCGCCCTGCCCAGAGCACCGATAAAACGGATGACATGGTCGTTCCGTTTAACGCGTGCTGTTGCTCAGGGGCGCGCTGAGCTGGTCACCCGCGCTGTCCGCTGCTACCCGACGCTCGCTCAGCTCGCGCAGAACACGGGCGCTGCTTGGGCCCGCGGGCACCAGTTCCATGAATGCTTGCGAAGTTTTGCTTTTTTTTTTTTTCTCTCTCTCTCTCTCTCTCTCTCTCTCTCTCTCCAGAGGATCCAGGACCGCCCAGCTGGCGTCAAGGCCGCGCCCATGACCCCGCAGAAGAAAGCCACCCTGCAAGCTCGCCTGGAATCGCATGCCTCCGCCTGGGGCAAGTGTCAGGAAAAGGTGACCATCGCTGGCGTCGTGGATCCCACGGTGCAGAGCCTGCGCAACCCTGATAATGTAGGCCGCGCTCTTGCACGGCACTGGGGGCAAGTCCGCAAACGTTTGCCTGGGGCCGATCATGTTCTCGAGCTTCTGCGCCCGCGTTCCTGGAGACCACTGGGCTCTGGAGTACCCCGGGGTCCGCGATGTGGTCTCCCACGCGCGCGACAGCGCCCCTGGGCCCGATGGGGCCCCGTGCTCGTGCTGGGCCCACGGCGGGCCCCGGTTTGCAGACTTGCCTTATCGCGTGTAAAAGTCTATGATTGGAGAAACTCTTCCTGGGGATGATTTTAACCATGGGATGGTCGTCTTTCTTGCCGAGGGAGTGCAGGCCTCGTGCGCTCGCGGGGCGGGGGTCTTCAGAGCGGCTGAATGCACCGGCCCCATCACTGTCAGCAACACATGTAACAATACCGTCTCCACGGCGATCAATGCGCCCATGGGCCTAATGCCTCGCCAAACTTGCCTCGACGTCTAGACTGGTTTCATCAAGCGCCGCAGCATGGTCAACAATCTGTTAGGCATCGGGGCAAAGCTGTACACTGGCACTGCCAGCGCCTCCATAG